ACGCGTTCATTTGTTCCAAAGATATACCTACAACACTTCACAAGATACCAGAAAAATCGAAAATGTGCACTCTTATATCCCTTCAAGCAAAGCTGGGGTTATTCCTGTCACTCCAACATAATCTGAACACTATCCTAGCACCCTCCCTTCTTTTTCTGTCCTCAAGACTGTGTAGAAACACCCCAATTCCATGACCAAAGACACTTCCTCCTTCTTGCCCGGGGGATTCCCACAATGTTGATGGTGGACATGGCATCCTTCTGGCATGTCCTCTAGTCCCCTAAATCTCCTTGGATAGTTTGGAATAGTTGCTATACTGTTGTTAGAGTGATATAAAAAAAGTCCGACACAAATTGAATAAGAACTGAATATGTTATTCATGCAACTGTCCTTCTGCCTTCTCAATTGCCCTCTCCAAGATTCTACCTCGGATTGGAGGTATAATCCTTGCTCTAAAATTTCTTTAAAATATATATTATAGATTATAGTAACTATCAGGTGTTTGTAAACCCCTCTGAGACCTGTGAGCAATGATACTACCTCCAGTTTCTGGGGTGAACACATTTGACAAACTAGGCGATATGGTGATCACCACTCATCACCAGTCTGTTTGAGGTTCACTGCAGACCTCCTGCCTTCCACAATGACCCAATCACAATAGAAATTTGAGGACACTTAGAAGTAGTCAGTAGAATGTCTCTGCATTGTCTGATTAATTATATATATCCTTGATCTCCTTAAAAGTGGCAATCAGTTCGATTTTTATGTTATCTAAGGTGTCACATGGTCGTCTCGGATGTGTTGGAATTTGAAGAGGAGATTGTTCCGATTCTGGGACATGTTTCTTCTTGAAGATTGGTGAAGAATTGGGCATCCCATGGGGCAAACAAGGTGATTATAGGTAGAAAACCCGAAATTGGCCACTGCAAGTGCATTTGGCATTATTAACTCCTGTATTCTTGCATGGAGGTACCTATATGGCTACTATTAACATGTATATATGTTACAGCTCACATAAATAGCCTGGGGAATAGGAAATGGAGGGTGCATTTCTGGCTTTTCAGGGGGAGGAGGAAGGGGTGCTTATATATATGGGAGTCTATACCATGCTATG